TCGTTTTGCTGCAACTGTGCCGCCAAGGCTGCTTGCTGTGAACCAGGACCACAGTTCTTGATCTTGTTCACCTGTGGCGATTAGTCCTTTCGAATAAAGACTTGAACTCTTTCTTGTTATCTTAAGCCTCATATTTATTTGCAATTTTAGATTGTGTTTATTCCGTTCTTGCTTGTGTTCTCGATTTGCTTGTAGGAAAGCCTTCTCGGCGAGGTCAATCGCGTTCGCGTGGTTGATAACCAACGAAGCAGTGGTGTAACGGTTGCGGGGGTCCAAATCAATCTTGGTTCAAAGCCTAGATCGTGAATGTCGAGTCTCCATCAATCGACGCTATCATACCTTTCGAAAGATCGGGCCTAGTCTACATCAAGTGGTATCAGAGACCTTGTTGCCCGTTAGGTATAAATTTGTTTTCCCTTTAGATTATTAATGTTTTTGCATTACCTATAGTCCACAAAAAGCTAAAAAAATATATACGCCACCACATATTCCCAGTCCTATAGCCTCATTATGCCGTGCAATTTTGTTTCTGTTTCGCGTTGTTGAGTTTGTGCCCTAGGTCAAGTTCTGGTTGCTGGTTTTAGATCGTTTTTAGTTCAGTTTGTGTCTTTCCCTTTATTTTTCATCATAATCCATGAACACCTTCAAGATTTGCTGTGTTTCCTTTGTATCCATCAAACTCTAGTCCACGTCATCTAATTTGTTACACTTGTCCTCACTGTTTCCATCAAATCCTTGCTGCAGTGACCAATTTTGCGCACATTGTTCCCGTTTTGTCCTCTAATTCGGAATCCGTTCGTAAAACTGGTCTAGTTTTCGCATACGAACTCAGATTTCGACGTTCCATATATCAAAATCGATTAGAAAAAAAAATCGGATCTGTCCATCCCCGACTTTAGCGGGGTTGAAGATTTTTATTTTGGTCAAAAAGTGGTCACAAGATCCTCTTTTCGTTGTCACAAGATTTTTATCGATTTTGAGCACGTATTCTGAAAATTCCACAGGCTACGCCTTTCACTTGTTTAAGCTCATATTTTCTATGGTTACTTCTTTTGTGCTCCTAAGTGAAGAAAAAATATCAAAAAAATAAAAAGAAAAGGTCGAAATTTCCCAAAAAACACATCGACAGCTCAAAAAAATAGAAAAAAGAGAGGGGCAAAAGAGGAACAATATCTAGAGGAGCACATAGAGAGCGCCATTTGAGCTGTGTTTGCGTGTGCTAATTTCTGCCTTGTTCCTAATCATATTCTTGCTGTTCTCATCACTTGATACATCTGGTACTTGGATCGTGAATAGGCCAGTAACTAAGACAAGTACTCGGGATACTTATTCAGCTTTGCTATTCAGTTGTGAATATTGTTATTCCTTGCTATTATATTGTGCATGTCCAAGCTCCACTTCCTTTTAACCAAGTACAGGTTCGCCTTATAACTGTTACACTCAAGCTACAACGGTATCACAGTCACTGACCGATTACACCGCCTGTTGTTTTGGTAAGAACACTTGTAAGACCGTGGTAAGCCGCTTGAGAGTGTGTGACTTTACTCCTTGACCACATCCTATAGTAGCTGATAGAAAAATATATACTTTTGTGTTGTCTTTTACTGTCTTCTAACAATGGCAGGTTGTTCGTATCCACCAACTTATAATGGTATAGGTGCTGATGAGTACATGGAGTGGGAAATTGCCATCGATAACATATTTGCTACTCGCTTTATGTGTCCAAGGAGGAAGGTAAAAAATACAGCTAGTGTTTTGCGACATTCCGCTTTTTCTTGGTGGGAGTCTTTAGATCCTTCTGATAAACCTCAAACTTGGAATGATATGAAAGATCTTATGAGAGAAAATTTTGTTAATCCATCTCTTGTAATTAATTCAAATGATGAGGTGCATCAACTAGATCAATCACTTGTTATTCCTCTTGCTATGCCTAACCTTTTGCAGGACAATGTACAAAAGAGCGAGGATGACGTGATAGAAAATGAGATGCTCACAGCCTCATGTGAAAATTTAGAACCATCAACTATTACTCCTGCTGAATATGAGAGCAAAGGTAATGCTCATGATGTTAAACTCACAGATGGTGAGAGTTTTCTTGATGTGCCAAAATTTTCCACCAATCATGTTATGATAAAGCAAATTTTAGTGGAGCCTTCTCCTGATTTATCTTTGTCCCATGATAATTTTCTTGATGTTCCTTGTGATAAAGATAAATTGGTTGATGATGCTTCAGTTTTACATATTTTGGAACCAGACACTTATGCTAAAAATAAACATGTTATTCATATTGCTACTAAAACTGATGAGCTCAAACTGTTGTCTTCTTTACATACTTTGGGTTACATTGAATTTGATGTTTTGTGTAACCTAAATTGTTTGGAGGAGAGCCTTTTTAAATATGCTGATTTGCCTTGGTTTTCTAAACACACATATCATGTCATTGACAAATAGAACAACAAATGACAATATATGATACATCGAGTATATGTTCGTAGTAATATAAATTCTCCTTTTATTGTACAAGATTATGATCGTTTAGAGGGCAGCCATAATAATACAAATATTTTCTCATGTTCCTCAAAGAAACAAGTTCACTTTCAAGAAGGGGAGCATTGTTGGTTGCTACCAATGTCTGCTAGACCATCTATTCCTGCATTATCTTTGGTTAATTCTAATCTTTTGCAGGATAGTGTTGACATACATCGTGTGCATTTGGATCATGGAGTCTACATGCTTGCTGAAATTTTTATGCGAGATGACATGCTAAAAACATGGAAACATGGTCACGTTCCTTCTCATAATTATTTCAGTTCCTTTTGTGTTTACAACCCCGTTCTCCTTTGTGTTGTGCAGGATTAGTTTCAAGCACAATCGACGCCGATGACGGCTTTTTGTCAAGAAGGGGAGGATGATGAGGACATGATACCCATGCATACAAGCATATTTGGCTCATGGCATGGCGGGGTAGGAGGCCAGCAAGGGTGTCCAAGTCAAGAAGGAGGCCCGAGGATAATTCGGTTCGAGTCCCCAAGGTGGAGGCCCAAAGCAACTCAAGTTCGAGCCCATCTCGGGTTTCAGGACCAGTCTGCCTTAAACTAGTCATCCAGGACGCATCCGGACTCCGTTTTCGATGATCCACATATGGATGGAAAGCTAATTGAATAAGGAAGTCAATCCAAGTGGTTTCACGTCAAAATCTCTTCGGAATTAACGGGAATTATCGAAACAAGACCGCGTCCAGAATCTGTCAGGGTGCTGCGACGCCGTCTTTTGGTCCGTTGGATCGTGTATCGTGTTTGGGCCCATTAGAGGGTGTCCAGGGGGGTGACGCCCAAGACTCTATAATTAGCAGCCGTCGCTCTCCTTAGGGTTTGAGTTTTGCTTAGTTCTTGATTTTCTCGTGAAACAGACATCGTTTTGCTGCAACTGTGCCGCCAAGGCTGCTTGCTGTGAACCAGGGCCCCAGTTCTTGATCTTGTTCGCCTGTGGAGATTAGTTCATTTCGAATAAAAATTTGAACTCTTTCTTGTTATCTTAAGCCTCATATTTATTTGCAATTTTAGATTGCGTTTATCCCGTTCTTGCTTGTGTTCTCGATTTGCTTGCAGGAAAGCCTCCTCGGCGAGGTCAATCGCGTTCGCGTGGTTGATAACTAATGGAGCAGTGGTGTAACGGTTGTGGGGGTCCGAATCAATCTTGGTTCGAAGCCTATATCATGAATGTCGAGTCTCCACCAATCGACGCTATTATACCTTTCGAAAGATCGGACATAGTCTACATCACTGACCACTATGGGTTTCTTCTACAATAATAGAATAAATATGTTCAGCTAGATTTGAAGTGCCAAAATTAATGAGTGTTTCTATTATTTTGAATTTATTTAATTTAAGAAAGAAACACAGTTGTTCATTTAGTGGTTGACGATGCGTCAATTGTTCATTTAGTGGTAGACAATGCGTCAATCCATAACAATGCATACATGTATAGCGAATTTCTTAACATAAAGATCTACCTGACAGTCTATTAGGCTAGTCTCGGTGGAGATTTTCACTGTGTTGTTTCCAAAACTGCTATATCATACGAAATGAAATGAAATTTGGATGAACCATCAATTCTCAATGCAAAGTTTCATTCCATGATTTTATAGACATTTAATTATAAGACTCATAGAGAGTTGATAATCGTGCATAGAGAGTTTCATCCCATGAAACTCATTTCTTCTCCCTCTTTATTAAAAGATTGTTATGTCATAAAAAAAGCATGTATGGCAAGCTACTAAATGCAAATGAAACTCTTATAAAACTCCTACTGAGATCGGCCTTAGAGATGCTAATAGGATAGAAATGTGCACATACATAATTATTTATTTAAGTGGCCAATGTTGCACGTATGGATAGCATACTCACTTTGTACCCCAGTTAAAAAAAAGGACACATCTGTGTTACATGTCATTGAATCAGGAATATTGGATTTTGATCGGACGGTCCATCTCAGAAGCATACCTCTGTTGTTATTACCACGAGAATTAAGTCGATGGCAATAGTAATTTTTGGAACTATATAAAAATTGGGAATATTTAGTTCTTGTTTAGTTCACGAAATTTGGATTTTAGGGCTACTGTAGCACATTCATTTTTATTTGGCAAATATTATTCAAACATGGACTAATTAGGCTCAAAACATTTATCTCGTAATTTCCCACCAAACTGTGCAATTAGTTTTTTTCGTCTATATTTAATGCTCCATGCACGAACCGCAAACATTTGATGTGACAGATACTGTAGCAACTTTTTGAAAGTTAGGGTGGGAAAGCATCGCGGAAACGAGATCCTCGCCGTTACGATTACGAACAAATCGCCGACCCGTCTCCTGCTCTCTTCCCTTTCCGCCAGTTCGCTCCGCTCCCACATGCCTCCGCCTCCCTCTCGCCGTCGCGGCACCCCCAAACCCTAGGCACCTCGCCGAAACCCTAGATCCTCCTTCCCACCCCTGCCCCTCCCGATGGCGGGGGCCGCGGCGTCCCCCGTGGGGGGCCACGTGGTGGAGCGGTTCCGCTCGCGGCTGCGCGAGGAAGCGGGTGGCGGCGAGCCGGGCGCCGCCGCGGTCGTGCGCGTGTACTTGGAGGCGCTCCGCGAGCTCACCTTCAACTGCAAGCCGGTCATCAACGAGCTCACCTTCATCGCGGGCCAGCACGCCGCGCTCGCCGCCAGGGGGATCGCCGACGCCGTCTGCGCCCGCGTCGCCGAGGTCGTTCTGCTGCTCTTTGCTCTCCTCCCAGGCGTGTTACTCTTGTTTTCGTATTAAGGTGGCCCGCGTTATGATTTTTGGGGCATAAGGAAGCTTGGTCTTGGAGCGTTGATTACTCTGGGCGCTTGTGCCTTGTAGTCACTAGGGTTTGTGGATTGGTGTGCTTGTTGTGAAATGTGAGAAATCCCATGAAATCGACGGTAACACGGAAAACTTTTGGTTCCTATATATAGGTTTTACAATTGCTTCAGTCTGTACAAGATTATTCCTTTTGTAGGAAGCTATGTACATACAATTCAGTATGTTTGCTCTGATTGCTGTTTGGAGTTCTGGTTGCATATTTAGTTCCTGGGGTTTAGAATTTTTGTGGAATATTTTGTAGATTAATTGGTGTTTACCATTTTAGTTTTTTTTTGTTAGGGCGCTGACATACACGCATGGAATATGTAGCAACAGAGTAAGCAGTTATAGCTTAAGAGTGTATGGGCACTGCATTGGAAAAAAATTGGTCGCTATGATTGATGAACTTCTTTTTGGGATGGAAAGTTTGAGAGTTCTCCTGTCGAATTGAGATAAACTTTAAACGATGTTATAGATAAATGCGTAATGTGTTACACTGGTTCTTATTTTGACTTACAATGAAAAGAGTTCACAACTTCGGGTTTATTATTGGTTATTAGGATACTTGTGAACTGTGTCAGTTACCTGTTTATTTGTTCTGTCTTCTGTGGTAGATTTGGTTTTGTTTTGAAATATCTTGTAATTTTCTGGCTGCTTTCTTGAAGATAAGAGTCTACAATTTTAAATGGAAACAATATGGGAACTAATCATAAGAGCAAGGATTAAGCTATCGGTGTGGTTTGCAGTTTTCCTTTCAGAATCTGTTGGTTGTTTGAGACTGTTCAATCAGTTTTTTCTTTCTCATATGCATGATTTTTAATTAATTACGACTTTCAAAGTTCTTTTGCGTGATGATTGTTATTCTGCGATATTCTTGCAGGTGCCACCGGATCAGATATTACCATCTTTGTATCTGTTAGATAGTATTGTGAAGAACATACGTGGGGAATATGTAGATCATTTTGCAACTAGGTTGCACAGTGTATTTGTTGATGCATACTACAGAGTTCATCCAAACCAGTATACTTCAATGAGGCGCCTTTTTCGTACCTGGTGGTCAGTGTTTCCTTCTTCTGTGCTTCGCAGCATTGAGGATGACCTTCAATTTTCTCCCTCGGAGAATAACCGTCCCACCACATCGCCAAATCTGCATCAAACAGAGTCGTTATCTCCTAGGCCATCTCATGGCATACATGTAAATCCTAAATATCTGGAAGCACAACATAAGTTCAAGCAGGCCAATGTGGTAAGACTTTTTGTCAGCATCAAGTATAGATACTAGAATTACTGGTGTACTTGTTGTGGTTCAAGCATGATAATTGTAGTCTAATGACTGTCGATAGTGTGCCGTATTGTTGCATAACCTGTTGTGTTCTGTAACAGTCTATGCGATTTAAGTTAACTTTAAATTTATTGATGATGTTTGTCCACTTTATTTCCTTAAAAATCAGGCGCACCAGTCAGCAGCTCGGGACACTATGCAAACGACTGATGTGCAGGAGGATCGGATAAATGGATTAACATCGAATAGTTTGCGAGGACGGCCTTCAATGTTTCAGGTATTTAGATTGCCTCTTCCCTTGTTGCTCCTTCTCATTTTTGCATCCAGTCTCCAATTCCAAGCCTGTCTTTCAGACATCATTGTAGTAATGCTTGCATGTAAAAAACTGTCTTCTGTTTCTTTTGCTCTCCTTATTGGCCGATAAAGGAAAAAAACTTTTTTGTCTTGATTTTTTTTGGGGCAAATGCTCTATTTATTTAAGATTGTGGTTACTGATGGTTCCTTCCAAAAGTTCCTACGACTCGATTCCTTCCAAGAGTTCCTACAACCCTGTACCTGATTTAGTATTTCTTGATAACAAACAGTCGAACTTGTCTGACTTTTTGTGTCGCTTGAGAAAATGTTAGATGCTTTATTTCACCTCAAGTGAAAACCGAAGTAGTCAAGTCTACTCCTTCCATTCCAAATGTCTTTAGCTTTGACCATGTTCTAGAAAAATGCACCGACATGTAGAACATCAAATTAGTTTCATTAAATACACCATGAAATATGTCTTGATAGTTCTTAGCATTGAAGATATTAATATATTTTTCTATACACTTGGTCAAAATTAGAGAAGTTGATTTTATGTAGGATAGAAATATAACGACATTACATTTTTGGGATGGAGGTAGTACTTCAACATCCATAATGGCTCATCTGCTTTTCTTTTTCTTTCAATCCAAGTTGTCAAATACTATTTCTGCCTCTGGTTTACTTTGTGATGCTCATAATCTGTGTTGTAATCATATGGGCAGAAATCTTCTTTACAGTATGCTGATAATCCTGATCAACAAGAGATGTTTCGACCACTTGCTGGAACAATAAGGGCAACATCACCACATCTCTTGAGCACACATTCATCTGATGTGAATCTAGATGGGCCATTAGTCAATTCAAGGAAAAACTTGTCCAGATCACCACCTCTTGATGTGTTTCCTATGAATGTGTCCCCCAAGAGAGCACTAGAGAGGCTACCACCATCTCATTCTGTATTGGCACCTGATCCCAGAAAATTGCCTGATCGAAATGGCATGTTAAGATGGGCTTTGGACGATGGTGCACAGCGGCCGACAATGAGTATGCTTGATGAAGAGTACAGGAAGCAAAGTGCAAGGGAACTTATTGATGCATATGGGAATTGTCAAGGCCGAGATGTTGATGAACGACTTCCTAAAATGCAGCGCCTGGATCCAAATGGTATGGCTAGCAGATCTAGTGCACGAAATTGGTTAACTTCAGAGGAAGAAGAGTATTCGTGGGAGGATATGAGTCCAACTTTGACTGATCGAGTCAGAAGCAGCTTGCCATCTTTTCCTCCCGGAACCGTGAGAGCTGGATTTCCTAGGGCAAATGCAGGGCTACTGGAATCTGATGTTGGGAGGCATAATTTCCCAAGCCAAGCTACTAGATCATCGGTTGATGGTTCACCATTTAATCTTGAAGATAGGATTACAACTGCAAGTGTATGTTTGTCTGATCTCTCTTTAAATAATAGTGAATCATAGCATTAGCATAACGCTTTGTGTGCCTATTATCACCTCCTGCAGTTCTATGAAATAATTTTTCTCCTTTTTCTTTAAAAGAATTATTGTCTCCAGTACACAATATGATTGCTGCTTTCTATTCTGATATATTTGTAAAAAACATTGTTCCAAAGGGCTGGTTGCCAACTAGCCATGTGTTGTCTAGTTCAATTGGGCTGGCTAGGTGGCCCTAGACGCCCATGATGAGCTAGTTGGGCCAGATCTACCACTAGAGTTGTGGAAGTAGTAGCTTGTGTAGGGCCAACAAGATCATGACCTTTTGTGCCCTCTGCTTCCTTCCTTTCCCGCTCATATCCTTAGCTAAGGTCATATACCCCATACCCCCCCGTACGCAAGTTAGCCCGTGCAGATGATGCAGTATTCTGCTGCCTGCCTAGAGCCTAGTGCCCTTTAGAAAGAAGATAAAAATGTGCTATGCAAGTACTCCAAGTAACATCAGATGTACTAATATAGGCTTCAGCTGGCTGATCTAGAGATATTGTTGCCAAATTTCAAATGACATGTATCCTTTGACAATCCTTGGTTGACTGAGGACAAAATAGTAGTTAGGTAAAAGTTCTGCAAATATATTTAGAGAAACTACATTTTGTGGTATCACATTTGTATGCTGTTAGGGAAGGAACTTTAAGTGTAGTTTTTCAGCAGTTTATTCCTTTTTATTTCACAATTTGATGTAAAATAATCTATGCCTTCGGTTACTCATAGATTTTAAAGCATGTATCATGAGTAGGACTTGTGCATTATTTCCCAGTAGCCTTCAGCAGTTTTTAGGCACTGTATACATTATTTAACTGTTTTCTTGTCTTATTTTTAACTGAGACCCTTTGAACATTTTTGTCCATGCACCAAATAGGATTCATATGCAGACTTGTCAACCTGGTACTGTTGTCTGTTTGAATATATGAACACCTATTGACACAGGAACAACCTTTTTTTTCCTCCTGCAGCATGTTGACATTTCCACAAGGAGATATCCAAGCAATTTTGGTGTTCAGAATGGAGCTCTTTTGGAGTACCAGAATTCTGAACATACCCTAAATCATGGGAATATTGATACCATGCCAGCTCCACCTTGGCAGAAGCCTACTGGTCTGCCATTGCAAATACAGGCACCTCAACATCCATCAGTACTTGATAGAATACCACAGCCTGCCAATGGTGAAATGCCTGTCAAGAGGTTGGACATTAGTGGCACATACAATGGTTTGAATGTAGATATACCCTTGGTGGAGAAGCACAGGTCATCACCTGCTCCTGCTCCGACAGAATGGCTTCCTCTTCATCATACCCAATCACAAACTTTACCACTAATTCCACCTGATATGAAACATGTTAGAAGTGCATCGGATAGCTTGGAAATTAGTTCTTTTGTTAGCCAAGGAGCTAGTTCATCAGTATTTGTTCCTCGGCATCAGTATGATTCCTTGGATCGGAAAATGGGTACCGGTAACTTAGCTCAACCACCTTATCAGCACCAAGATTTGTTGCCATCAAGCCAACAAAATCAAGGTACAATTTTGGGAAACCAAGCTCATCCTCATCGCCCCACACAGTTACATCCCCATCCCCATTCCCATCCTCACCATCAGAAGACTTTTAGAAGCTTTGCCTCTGTATCTCCATTCCAAGGACAAGGAGGTACTGCAACCATGACACCTGTTTCCGTTCTGCCAGCTTCTTTTTCTGTACCACCTGCTGTGCCACCCTACGGTGTGCCATCTGCACCTGGGTTTCCTATGCCACCATTACCGCCTGGACCACGACCTGTCCCACTGCAGATGGGTTCCTCATCATCACAAGTCGGTGGCCCTCAACCATTTGTCTCTGGACTGTTGAGTAACCTTATGCGGCATGGTGTAATTTCACTGGAACCACCTAGCCAATCTCAGGTATTTCTCATGTTTCATGCGTTGTTATTATATAGTATTATTCTGTTGATATTAGTGCTGTTAATTGAAGGGAAAATTGTGATTATTTTATTATAGGATTCTGTTGGAGTTGACTTCAATGTAGACCTCAAGTTACGGAATGAGTCTGTTATCAATGCTTTGTATCAGGATCTTTCAAGGCAGTGTAAAACATGTGGCCTTCGATTTAAATGCCAAGAGGAGCATCGTGCTCACATGGACTGGCATGTTACAAAAAATAGAAATTCAAAGAACCGTAAGCAATCTTCACGTAAATATTTTGTCACCACGGGGGAATGGTTAAGAGCAGCAGAAACAGTAGGAAACGATGGAGTTCCTGCTTTTGTGCCCTCAGACCCAGTCCCAGACAGAAAGGAAGAGAAAGAAATTGCTGTTCCTGCGGATGAGGAGCAAACAGCCTGTGCATTATGTCAAGAGCCATTTGAAGATTTCTACAGTGATGAGACTGATGAGTGGATGTACAGAGGTGCAGTCTACATGAATGCGGCAGATGGTAATATTGATGGTCTGGAAAGGTCACAATTGGGACCTATTGTCCATGCTAAATGTCGATCTGGGCCCAGCAATACTTCTTAGGGTGGGCATAGGTGGTGAGTATCTATTCATTTCCTTGTGCTATAACAAACATGTATGAACCTAAGGTAGACATAGTAAGAGGTTTTTGCTGAGTTACCTCACTGTAATTAGGAGATATTGTCTCCTGGCTAGTATTTAGCTGTATGCAACATGTTATGATTATATATATGTTAACTAAATAAAAATGCTTGATGTGATATGCAATGTTATTGTTCATATTTATGACTGAAATGCACCGTGGGTCCCTAAACTTTTTCTGTATTTTCATCTGAGTCCATGAACTCTCAAAATGATCATCTGAGTCCTTCAACTTCAGGTGGTTCATTCGAAGTGTGAATTCAGGTCCATGATTGGACCTAGAGCGAACTTAGAATGAACCACTTGAAAAGTTGGAAGGACCTAGATGACCACTTTGAAAGTTTATGTACCCAGGTGGGAATGCAGGAAAAGTTTAAGAACCCATGATGCATTTTACTCTCTATTGTTTACGGTCAGTGTTCTCTATTAGATGAATATACTCCTGTCTTACATTTGGGACCCATTCTTTTTTGTTTGGTTTTTAGTTGTGCTGAACCATTTTGCAGATCCATCATATGGATTTTCAGAATGTCCAATTATACTAGCATATATAATAAGAGGACCTTGAGTTGCTCCCTTGAATAGTCATTTACCCTCTGAAGATTCTGTAGGTTTTAAAATGGAAATGTGAACACACATGCTCGGTCAAGTAGTATGATTTTTTAATCGGTGTAACTTTGCTAATGAAAGGTAATCATGCTAACTAGTGTAATTTTATGCTAATGACAATTGTAATCATGCAAACCCACAGTTCTGCATGTATCATTTAGTGTGATCTTCTGATGATGATTTATGAAAGTCATAATTTCGTAGCGTGACTATACTTTTAATATCTCTCACCTTTTGGTATCTAGGATAGTTTTCCTTAAGGCTTTGGTCTAATTTGTAAAAAAGTGGTGATAATCAGGAGTTCAGGACTATTGTAGTTCATTTTCATTCGTATACTTCACTATTTTTGCCCATCATGGCATCGCTAATCTGCGCAGCTATTTTGGTATCTAGGATAGATTTCCTTAAGCAGGCTTTGGTCTAATTTGCAAAAAAGTGGCGATAATCAGGAGTTCAGGACTATTGTAGTTCCTTTTCATTTGTAGTTCACTATTTTTGCCCATCTTGGCATTGCTAATCTGCGAAGCTATTATGTCTGCCAATCAAAGATTCATACATTTAGTGGAACTAATATTGTTTCTCATTTTTGCCATTTCCTGACGACGATACCTTGGTGCACAGGGCCCTTTTTTTTTTGCGAGGATTTTTGTTTTGTTTTTTGTGCTAGCTTTTAGCATGTTTGCAAGCATTGTATGTTTTTAATCATCTGGTCAGTGTTCATGCAATTAGTAAGTCGCATAGGCACATCCAAACACACAAGTTTGGTGACCTCTTGCTGAATCACGATTCCTGAGAGGATATTGACTGTTTTTTCTGTTCAAATTTCAAATGGATTTGACATAAAATTGCTTGAAGTAATCGACTGAATAATCATATGTTTATTGCCTTCTTTGTCCTATAATTTTTTTCCTTTGGATTATGAAATCCTCAATGACAGGTTATAAGTTGGAAGGTGGTAAAATTAAGATATACTCGGCCTATGTGCCATTGCATTGTACCATGTAATTTAGTTCCATGCTGTTGAATCATCTACTACCTCCGTTCCTTAAAGAGGTGCATAGCCAGAATGACATTCTTTTAGGGGACGAAGTTAATAGTTGCAACAAACCCTTTTCTTCTCTGGCTCCAAAAGGATCCTTTTTGGTACATGCCAATAGGAAACAAAGTGTGTTTAAAAAGCCTGCTGAGTTTTCCTGAATGTTCTATGATCCAATGAGATGGGTTCATTGGTTTACTCCTTCTGCCATGGTGATGATTATTTTGAATGCATAATATTTGTGTTCATATCAGTCACGTTTGATGGGTTCAACTCTAATCAATTTCTGTCCCTAATTAATTGTTAATAAAGCCACGAGGAAGATAAGTAAGCATCTTGTTTATTAGCTTCGTGGCAACAAATCACTCAAACTTAAACTTGCCATGATCTAATGGTTAATAAATTCCCTTAGAAGTGCCTCGTTGAAAGATGTTGCTATGTTGATTGATGATTGCTAACTATTTTTATCTTTGTTGCAGGGATGACTTGATAGCTTTTTTCCATTGCGGCTGTAGACATGACCTGTAAACTACCAGAGACTCAGATTTTGGTATGGTTAGCTTCTTTTCTATGTGGCTCCCTAACAGCCAGTGCATAGAATGTTAATGTGACAATAGTGTATAGCTGTAAAATTTTTCTGTAATTCAGTGATAGCATTAGTAATTGGCCCTACAGTCACTATTGTCATATTGTGCTTGTGCCCTGTCATTTTGTCCTTAGTCGCACAGTGCTGCTTTTTCATTACAACCGTAGTGTGATCTATACTGAAGCTTCATGTTTAGGGTTTCTGCAACACAGTTGACAGCGGTATATGTAACCATGGTTTCACTGGACTTGGGAAACAATATATTTCAATAGTCCGGCTTTCTTCCTCGTTAATATCTTGTGCAGGATACATATCAGTTCTCTACTAGTTGGCTGGTAGCTTTGGAAGGGATCGCGCCAGATGACCAAGAGTGCTGGCCTCAATCTGTGGCTTTCCTGAAGTATTTTAAGGCACTAGATGCTGTCATTGTACCTTATTGCCAAACTTTTAAGTATTTTCCTTTGTAAGTTGAGAGCATTGTTTGTGACGATTATTCTTGGTTGCTTGTATAGTTCCATCTTGCTGATATGTTTGTACTCCGAAATGTGGATGAGAATATCGTACCAAAACTTCATATTCTTTGGTATATGCTCTGGCAAACTATTAATGAAACAATTTTTGGGATGTTGTTTTTATCCAAATTTATTTATTTTTCCTGCCCCATATTGCCGTGTGAATAATTTGTGATTGTTTTAGATAAGCTCGTGCGGTCGGACATGCATTTCTGATGTCATATGGCCACATGACTAGGGTCTTCATTCATTGTCGCGATCATCTTTATAATATATTAAAAAGGTTCTGTTTGGTTCAGAAATTGTACCAGGTGCAGTTTGGTCCAGAAATTATAAGACATGGTAATTAATTACTCTTTCCGTTCTACGTAAATTAAGAGATGTTTTAGCTTTTTTAGCAAAACTTTTTTACACATTAGAAATATACTGGCTAGATGCAAATGTCTAGATACATAATAAAAACAATCTATCTGAAAAAGTCAAAACATCTTGTAATTTAAAACAATATCTACATACATAATAAAAGCAATATATATGAAGAAGCTAAAACATCTTATAATTTAAAATGGAGGGGTAGAAAACAAGATTATAACAGTAGCAAAGTAAAAAAAACAAAATTGCTTCGAAGTATGTTTTATCGCATGAAGATCATTCACCTTCTAACACAAGTGATCGTAATCATGGGCCACTTACATGAAGATACAAGAGCAGATGAATTTATTCCTATCCGAATTTAACTTTGACATATTTGAGAATGTTATACTACCTAAAATTCTCTTTCTGGACTTTTTGATGATTTGATAAAACCACATGATATTGTAGGCGAGCTGTCGAGTGTTTTACTCAAACCTTTGTTCTTCCTTGTTCTTTTTGGACATGTGAAGAGATCCCTCTGGGATCCCCTTGTTTGTGCTCTAAACTCATTAGGTCTTTGTGTGGATTAGTTTTGTATTATGGTTCTGCGACCGTTCGAAGATCGAGTCAAAGTAATCAAGGATCTGGTGCCTCTGTTTTTGTCGCTTGGTCGCATCCAACCTTTGTCAGGTATAAAGCTAGTTATTCCGTTGTTTGCAGCAAGTTATTTTCGATTCGTCGACCAATTGTCGTGAGAATCGGGCCAACCTCAAGGAGGTTCCTTATTAGGGGGGGGGGGGTTCTTTTCTCCAATTGCACTTTCACAAAGAGTAATAACCAAAATACTTTAATGAATCTTGTTAGCCCTTTATATGCACTGTCAAATATTCACTAAAATCATGAGGTTAGAACCACACTCGGATCAACAACACAGATGTATGTGACTGTTTCTTCAAACTACTGCAGATTTGGAGCTAAAAAACATGCATCTTCATTGTCATTCCTACACGTGGACTCGTGGAGCAACAAGCATGATACACCAACGCTTGTTGTGAAAACCTAAAATTAGCGTCAGGGAGGCCGTGCTAGCGCCATGGGAGCAACTACCGCAGTGAGAGACGCCACCGTAGCATGTTCTAGGGCGCCACCGCAACCTCACCGAGATCCGGGGAAGACACATCGGGGGCCGCCACCTCCGTTGCAGAGGCCCTCGTTGCGCCTAGAAGGACAAACATTATTACACGAGATCTATAGTCCACTGCCACCACCGCGCTAAGTGTCGTGTCAGGGGTTGTAGCGCTGCCATGCCGCCTCCTCACCGGGGCTGTGGCAAGCATCGGGGACGTTGCACCAAGATCCATTGGGCGCCGCTATCGAGGGTGGCATTGGGAGCCGTAACGCTGCTATGCCTCCACGCTAGGATGCACCCAGGGCTAGGTGACAGGTCGAGACGGCGGACTAGAGGGGGATAAATAGTCATTTTTAAAATTTATTTGCGTCGGCTAACCAAAATAAATATGAAATTAAAACAAACGATCTAACCAACACTACACCCCTCTATCTATATTTTCAAGCACCTTACAAAGATCCTAATATGAGCAACTAAGGTGCCGGGCTAGGTAGAGCTCATCTAAATAATTCTAACTTGCAAGGTCACACAAACCTATACAGTTAGTACTCAAGCAACCTCCTACTCATACTAATGAGCAAAGCGCACAAAGCCTAAGCCGACTAATAGTTCTCAATAGCAAGGTGTCGGTGTTTTCGGACCACCGACAAGTAAATTTATATTTGTGCGTCTGGGTCGGATGGTGTGCTCGGAGGA